TTTTTTTTTTTTTTTTGTAAATGTCCTTTTTAGTTTAATTTTACACGAGCTGTAACATCTTTTAGCAAAAAAGAAGCTAGTTTTGACTTTGTTGGACAATGGATTTGAATGGAGAGATCATATTTTTTTCCCCACCAAAAGGTACAACTCCACTAATTGAATGAATTTTCACCGAGATACGCCGCCTAGGACCCAACCACCTCTCTTGATTCCTCTCGATGTTTTTTTTCCCTTAAAACGTTCTCTAACAACATTATTGATCAGCAAGATAAATCAGTAATATTTTCTTTATAGTACACCTAGTCTTTATTATAGTTCTAATAAGGTACTATGTCAAACATATAAGAGACTATAACACAATTTTTTTATCCATGACAGTTTGGATGAATTGAATTTCAAAGGCTCACAAGGTCATAATAGAGTATAACATAATTACTAATGACTTCACACAATATAACTTTTAATTTAATGTTAAGGGAATATAAGACTTTCAATTTAATGTTACATTTAATGTTAAGGGAATATAAGACTTTCTATTTAATGTTACATTTTCTTTATCAGCTAAGAAACTATTATAAATTAACTGGTACCAGCGATATCATAAACTCATACAGAGAATTTTTATACTATAACTTTTCTAGTTAAAAATAATTTAAAGTTCAAATTATTTTTAATTAAAAAAACTATCCTCCTTACACCTTTTTAGACATTGTAGCATGCAACAGCCAATTGTAAAATCTCTCCCAACGTGATATACTTCACAATAGTAAGCCCACAAAAAGTTTTATGACCATTAGAATTAATGTAATAAACTTTTCCATATATACTGATATATTTCATGACAGACACCACTCTATGTTGATCATCACTCGACCACGCTATGTTGTATATCTCAGGTAGCCAAGTCCTCCATCTCCCAGTCATCAATATGATTTACATTCTTGGCAGCTCCTTTTTTTTACAACTCCCATACCAGTCTTATCAATTGTTTCCTTTTATCCAATTTGCAATGTTATCTTTGTACACGAATTCTACTGGAAAATTTCTTGTTTCTGCAAGGCAAATGATCGATCCTTTAGTACTCCTCTCACAAAGTCAAATATGCATTATATGCATGTGTACTCCACTCCTTCTCCCGGTGTACTGCATAACTTACTGCATTCCACATAAAATGTTACGTAACAGAGTATAATTTAAGAATGTTAGGTATATCTTAGAACTGGAATAGTCTGTAACGATGTTGGTGAAGGTATATATATGTTAAATGTAATCCAACTGTCGGAGAGGATCTAGATACTTTAAGTTCTAAGAAATATTGAGCAACCAGTTTTATATAAAAAAAAAAAATTCATGTATGAATAACATCAGATTTTCAATGTACGCGCAGACGTAAACTTAAAAGCAAAATTGAAGACAATTCTAGAGGAGAACCAAAAGTAGTTTATTGCAAGAAAGCATATACATTACAACATATCTTAATGAAATAATGACAAATGGGTAAGAAAAATAAAATTTCAAATTAAAATCAATGGAAGAAATAAAAAATGCAGTCCATCTAGAAATCGACGTCACACTTGGTGGTCTGGAACAGGGTTACGGTGGCATTGCTACTGAAAGGAACCTTGAGGTGGCATTTGACCTTGGGCTTGTAGTCACCGGATTTGACGTCCCCGAGCCTGAACCTAATCCTGAAGTATAGCTTCACATAGATGTCGTAAACTCCCTCACTCTTATCTTGGTTCAACTCTGAGATTTGTTCATTGTTGAGAAGCACCACTTTGTGCCCGGAGAAAACGGCGGTCATGCGGTTGGTGCTCTTCTTGTATTGGCGGAAGGAGTTGATGTGCGTTATGACATCGTAATTGGCGAACCTGGTGTCCTCGTAGAACGCTAATGCCTCTACTTTGTCGTAGTATATGCTGAGCTTCTTGTTGGGGTTGCGTGCGGTGAAGTTGAGCACCATGTTGTAGTGAAGGGTGTTGTTGTTGGTATCATACTCAAACTGAGTTAGCTCTGCTTCCGTTACATAGAACTTGAAGGAACGGGGTTGAACCACGAGCCAGAAGATGAGGATTGCGAGGCCAACGAGGACGACGAGGGTAACGAGAATCTTCCAGAAGATTCCGAAGAGGCAGCAACAGCAGCTTCTTCCATGGTTGTGGCGGTAGCGTGGTTGCTCCGCAGGGGGAATGGCGGGACCGTAATAGCCACCGTTCAAGTGGGGTTGCTTATCAACCATGCTTGCAAACGCAGATGAGTGAA